GGGGAAACTAGGGGATTATTGGGGGTTCCATTTTTTGGATCCTAAACCCTGAACCCTATATACCCCTATATAGACCTCTTTAAACCCCTTTGAAGGGGTTCCATTTTTTTGGATCCTTTAGGGGGTCTGGGTATTGCCGGGGCTTCTGGGATTTCACTGTTGCCCTTCCTAGCATCCTTGTCCTCAAGCAGGATGCATTCTGTTGTGCACTTGGTAAAGAGGCTACGAAACGCTTTAGTGTTATCTACAAAAGTAAGGGCTGTAGAAAACTAGATGGTTACAAGTCGTGTTTTCCCTACCTAGGCGTCATAAACATCTGCTCAGGTGTCTCTTTTTGCGAAGGGAGCGGCAGACTTACCGGCGGCTAGTAGGGAATGGAGAAATCGATCCCCACATTAATCACTTAATCACTATATAACCCCACTTCCCGTTCGAGGTCCAAACCCAAGACCCACAAATCCTTAAACCCTATATCCCTGTCCGTAATTAATCCCCACATAGGCACCGGCGAATTACGGGCAACCTGCTCGGATCAGACCAGGCTTGCAAAGGTCCTTTTTGCAAGGACTTTCCCAGAAATCGTTCAATGGCTACTTTCCAGGAGTGTTCTCATGTTATCTATAGCAGAATTGAAACAGGACTATTGGATACTCCGCTGTGATAACTTTCTGTTTTTGCTACTGAGGCGGTATTTCTCAAAAACATCAAAGATGGATTGGCTGCCTCAAGACCAGACCTTCCATCATGACGCGGTTGGGTTTTAGGGTCTAGGGTTTACGTTTTAGGTTTAGGCCTAGTTTTCTTAGCTTTTCGCGTTTAGGGCTAGGGCTTGGGCATTAGGGGAGTCTACTGAAGCAACCGCCTGTTTGTACTCTCATGGACCTGGCGAAAAGAATATCTCAACAATTCCTGCCCCAAAGGGCTTCCCCCATACAACCCGAACGTAGTCTAACTTGGATCCTATGTTCCACGCTGAGTTTCCAAAAGGATGGTCCAGGCCCGGACAGCCCCACTGGCACAACTTTGAAACCCTTGGCTTTAGACCCCGCGCAAGTAAACCCAAGCCCTCAAACCATGGACAAAAAACTCTCCGACAGCTTAGATTTCATTTTGCATTGTCCTTTCCATTTGGGGATTGTCAAAATTATGGTCCCTATTTGGGTCCCTATTATAATGCGGGGCCTAATACGGGGCCCCAATTTAAGGGACCCAAAAGGGACCATAATTTTGACAATCACCCATTTGGTTGTACGTGACTTGGCGACATGTTCCTAAACCCCGTATGATCTCTCAATATCCCTTTATATGCACACACAATGTTGCTTCGGTGTCATTTTCACTTGTCTTTTCCAGTTGCTTTTCCACGCCCCCTTCTGTTAATTCAGGGGCCCTAAGCCCGAAATGCTAGGCCCTGAGGGCCACATATCCCCGACAACCTGAATCTGGGGCAGCCGCTGCTTAGCGGCCCCAGAATTCAGCACGGATAGCCTGCTCTGGCATTTGCGGTTCAGAGTTTAGGGTGTAGGTATGGAGATTCTGGAGGGGCAGGAGGATTCACTACCAAGGAGTTCAAAAGGACTGCTTTTTGAAACTCCCACCTGAATACTTATGGCTTCGGCGGCATAGGGGTGACTTGTAGGCCTGCGAAGATTGTGACACTGAAGCTGATTGTCCGCGGACGGCTACCTACACAATCCTACAAGCAGCAAGGCTGTTGAGAAACTGGCGCAAACACGCTTCCTTGCTTCTCAGAAGGGATGGATCCACACAGAATCCATATTTGCTAGTTAGAACTTGTCAGGGGATACGCCTAAAATCAATGCGACCATCATCTGCTAAACCACTCGAAACTGTCTGGCACACACCAACTCACGCTACTCACGCAGACCCCAGTCTTGAGAAAGCTGGAACCCCTGCATCTCCCAGGCATATCCGTTAAGGCTTGTAAACGGTAGCGTCATGATCTGAAATGCAGCTCATATGCGCAAGCGTTTGAGGGCATAATATGGACAAGCCATTATCCAAAATCCTGAACCTTCCAGCTGGCAAAGGCATGAGTCATGTCATGACTCGGAAGTGAAGCCCGGTGTCAGTAAATCACATCGCCTTATTGTGGAATTCGCCGTGTTCGGGTAAAGTTTAGGGCAAGAGTGTAGGGTTTATATGGTTCGGGGTCAGAAAGTTGGGAACAACTTGGGACCTTCTCCTAACACTCTAGTTGACCGTGCTATATGTCCTAGTACCACATGGCATTCCACCTTACCCCATATACAGTTGCATACGACCGTGTCTTCCCGCATGATGTAGCTCTGGATACTGCCAGAGCCTGTTATCATACGTCATGCCATTGAATTCTCATGTGTACACTGGGAGACTCTTTCGACGCCAGTTGCCTGTTTAACTATGCATGGAACTCCTCCAAATCCCGTGCCAATAGCATTGCTGCCCCATCAATCCTCACCCATGTATTGTCACAGGCCCTGCTGGGGGTCTCAGGAGCCTGAACTCCTGCACCCTACGCCCAAACCCGCAGCCGCTTTTTCAGACAGCGTCCATGTTCTCATGTCTAGTGATTTTGGTGGTTGGGCCAAAGAGGATAGTAAAGGGGTGACAACGAGAAAATTCCAGGGTTCAACAATTCGGGGAAAAGCATAGCCAGTCAGTTGTCAATTGCTCTTCCTCCCACTACTACTGCTGCTGCTACTACCACTGCTCCTGCTACTACCACAATCACGGTCACCACCACCACCATCACTACTACTGAGAGGAAGCTCAGAACTAAGTTTCTGCTTTATTGTGACCCCTGTATTCCAGGTCCTTGTTTCAAAGCTGGTCCGCCTGTGACTCCGCGGGAGTAAGCAGACGGCGTAAACATTACGTCCAAAAGTAAAACGTGATCTTGTTCTGCAATGTGGACTGTGGCTTCCCTCTTGAAAATGTTATTGTAGGGGCCTAAACAAGCACCAGCATCATTTCGAAGTAAGGTTGAGGTACCTTGTACCATCACTACACAAGGAATCTACACCCATAATATTCTGGGTTGGCCCCTAAAGCCCTTTGAAAAATATTAGTATATAGGGTCCCTTATTGAAGCCATTAGGGAACATATTAAATATTTCAGGGGCCTACCCAGTATTGGGGATTTTTTGGTCCCAAGACTCTTCTAAGCCCAGCCTCGGTGTAAGTGGTCGCAGATCCTGCATGTCCTCGTGGAAGGCCTGGTTCCGCAGGGATTGATGGCTTAGGTTTAGGGCTTCATGTAGGTGCCTGAAGACTGGTATCCCCTAAATGCCTATCCAAAATAGGTTCTAGCTTCCCAGAGTAAGGGAAGCTTCCAAATATGAAAAGGGCCTCAATCAAAGCATCCCTCAACAGCCCTTGCGGCTGAGGGAAAGGTAGGGAAGCGCATAGTTGAGGTAAGTATGTTCGGGGGTGGGAGGTGGATCTCTGTGCGCATCTTCTGAAACCAAGGGCCAGCATCCCCCAATCCCCAAGCTTGATTTCCACAATCGGCTTTCTCAAAATGCCAGAAAAAGGTGTTGTGGTCTCCAAATCTAGCCCTTTTGGCACGACACTACTTAAGGCTTCAACGAGCTCTCGGGAAATCCTCAAGGCCTCCCCATGCCGTCTTTCGCCGGACATGATGTACCGGTTCACACGGCTCAGTGGGCAATCTGGCGAAAGAATGCCAGAGTCCCGAAAAAGTATCCAGAGCTGGAAGGCATACATAACCTTGGCTGTTCCGAGTTTTGCGTTGACGTGATTGATACAAAAGCTAGGGAGCCTGAACAGATTCTCACAGAACAGCCCAGCAACCCATGGGTCATCGCCGGACCTCTGAATGCTTCTCCGCACTTTGGCATAAACTTTCCTTGCTCGAGCACTCTTGGTTGCAACATGGCCGCTACACACAAGAAAGGCCTCGTTGCAAATGTTCAGCAAATGTTATGTAGCGCAAATGTATCGTTAAGGTACGTACTGCACCCACCGTGTAACCGTATATAGTAGGGGTCATATCAAAGGCTGTATAAGTCTAGATGATTATAAACATTATCCAACCGTTACGTAGCGGAGAATATTCCTGGAGACAAACTCCCTGCCACTTAACACAAAACAACATGGCAGGAGGTAAAGCCTTAACCCAAAACCCTTAAAGCCCAAGCAGGTTGTGGCACCTTCAGCGGAAGTCTGGTTGCACACTGTGTTCTTGGGCTTCTGGGTCAAGTGTTTTGACAAAGGGCTTGTCGCGAAAGCACACCCCTAACCCTAAACCCTGAACTATGTACAGGTTTAGAGTTTAGGGGTTTAGGGTTTGAGGTTTAAAGACTACTGAAAACGACATGTTCTGTCAATCACAGTAGGTTCCAAGCCCCAAACCCAAAACTCTGCAATACAAGCCCTGGATACTATAGCAGTTTCCATTTTCTTTTCCATTATCCTTATATAACCCCAATATCCTATAGTAGTTCCAATTACCTTTTCCATTATTCCTATGCTACCCCAATATCTTATAGTAGTTTCCATGTTCTTTTCCATTATCCTTCTGTAACCCCAATATCTTATAGTAGTTGCCATTGCCTTTTGACCCTAAACCCTAAACCCCTAAACCCTAAACCAACATCAGGCCAGTCTCTTGAGGTCCCCGAGGTGCCGAAGGAGGATGTTGTAAATCTCCCTGAAAACCTGCGAGTCTATAGATTGTAGTGCTATTAGGGTTATATTCGGATAATGGAAAATAAAATGGAAACTACTATATTGTAATAGGGCTTATGTATATAGTTCCCTAATGGCAGGCTGCTCCCAACAAAACCGTTCTTGCGAGTTCCTGAAAGGAACCCCGCCAAAACACTAAGCTCTCTTTTTGAGGGTAACTTCCCAAAGAGGATCCCCCCATTAAGATCAGGCCCCCACCTTTCTTAGGAACATCCCTGAACGCCATCACGTTAAATGCTACTGTAAACTTACGGGTGATTAGCATGGAATGAAGGAAGAGCGGAGGAAATTGCAGCTACTGGTTAGGGTTTGGGATTAGCAGGGGATGAGGGAATGAGAAGGAAAACGGACACCACTGTAGTGTTGAGGACTATTCTAGGGACTGCTGTAGGGACATTCCCTACCAACCACCAGGAAGTCAACCCCAAACCCTGAACAGCATATGTAAATATGTATATACGCACATGCTCACAAAAACATAGTACATATATATATATATATACATACATATATTATCCGTGCAACCTTCCAGTCTCCGTGTGATTTCCATTCCCCCCTAACCACCGGCATTCAGATCTTTCTCGCTTTGGGGTCACCTTCCTGCCTCGGTCGGCGCGGTGTAGCCGGTGAGCTCTGTAGGATCCGTAATCACACGGTCATTCGGGAGGCAGAAACCTCCGCTGCTGGGAGGAATCAGGGTAGCTATGACCCACCTGTACCTGTACTCTGTAACCCGCTGCTAAGTCTCTTTAGCTAAGCAGAACTCGGTTGTTTAAATGCAGTTATGACTGGGTGATAACTACCCTCAACATCCAAGTGGAGTTTCGGTTCAGGTGTGTAAAGTCTATTGGTATGTGCTACAATGAGTCTTCTTGGCTAGTCTGGTAGCAACATCAACTTGATCAGTTCATCTGCTTCTGCAGCAATATCAATAACAGCACTTCCCCAAGTAAGACAGCTGTCACCACTCCTGATGACCATGTCTTATCTAGCACGGGGACAGGCTACTGGAAATAACCCTCTCTTGGTGGGGAGGAGGACCCTAAACCCTAAACCCTACACCCTAAACGTGTTCCCAAAGGAGCAACTCTGAATCCTGACCACAGCACACTTAAGCCGTGCCTTGAGTCGAGACCCAAACCCCACCCTAAACATTGCGAAGCCCAAACTCCAAGCCCCGCATCGCGCATCCTGAAAACCTGGGAGTCTATAGATTGTACGTAGTGCTATTAGGGTTATGTTGGGGTTATATTGGGATAAAATGGAAACTACTCTATTGTACTGGGTTTATATATATATATATCTTTCTACTCAACCCTAAACCCTGCACTAGTAGACAAGACGCTTTTGATAAGCATGCTCCTAGGATGGTCCATCAATAATTGATGCTCAGCAAGCCGTCCCCCCCACCCAATTCCCGTGAAATCAGGCGTGAAGCCAGTAAGGTCGCAAATGTCTACGCAGCGCCGCACAGGGTTCTCGGCCCCGCCGACATTGAGGACCTGGGTCTGGCTCAAGAGTCTCTATAAGCAACCCGAAGTCACACGACTTCCCATCAAGAGGATCAAAAACTTCAAGGACCCAAAATTATAAGAACCCCCGCCTGTGTGGATGCTACCTCTACCGCAGTCTCACTCGACACAGCTGAAACGGCCATGTTGTCCATAATGAACTCACCGGTGTATACACGGCCATCTTCGTAAGTGTATCTTCCATCGCCATGTTTGATGTTGTCCACCCACTGGCCTGTATACTGAGCACCACTTGCAAAGTTGAAAGTTCCATAGCCCGACCGCAGTCCTTTTTGCCAAAGGCCCTCAAAGCTGTTATTGGACTGCTGCGAAGGCATCTCCTTGCCAACAGGGCCCTCCCGGCCATCGTCCGGCACATGCCAGGTGTACTTGCCCTGGCCCTCAGGCATGTCAAATGCCCATTGGCCAGTGTATCGCTCCAAGAAGCCAGTATCCTGGGTTGCTGTTAAGGAACTTAACTTGAATTACCTCGGTATGGGCGCATATTTTATTTATGTGGTTTCCTCATGACAGTCCATAGCTTAAGTCATTTGGCAGCCTATGGAAGTGTGCAGTAGTTTTCATTTAATTTTCCATCTTCTCGTCCCTGTGATTCTCCCATCACTTAACCCCAGACCCTACATAACCATGTAAGCCTTCTGGAGGGAACCTATTCGAGTAACAGAAGCCCCAGCCCCCTAAGCCCCCCAAACCCTAGACCTTCTGACTCCACATATACCCTCTCTCACCCTTACAGAAGCCTGAATCCGTATCTTCCGTATGCAACCCTATATGATTCCATATAACCCAAACCCTAACACCCTAAAACTCTAAACTGTACCCACAAAAGTCACCATCTAAATCTAAGTATCACACCAGGTCATAGTCCCAAGGCCATGCATTCGGCCCTGCTCCCACTGGCCTTCGTAGGTGTTCTTACTCGGCCAAATCTGCCTTCCAGGTTTAAGGGTCTTAGGGTTTTTGGGGCTCGGGGTTTAGGGTTTGGGGTTTTGAGGTTTAAGGTTTAGGGGTTTAGGGATTTTAGGTCTTTAGGGTTTTGGGGTATCAGGGCTTCGGGTTTTAGGGTATCAGGGCTTGGGGTTTTAGGGTTTAGGGCTTTAGGGCTTTGAGTTTCAGGGTGTAGGGTTTTAGGGTGTAGGGCCTAGGTTATTTTTAGGGTTTAGGGTTTTAGGGCTTTGGGTTTCAGGGTGTAGGGTTTTAGGGTGTAGGGCTTAGGGTTTTAGGGCTTTGGGCTTCAGGATGTAGGGTTTTAGGGTGTAGGGCTTAAGGTTTTAGGTTTTTAGGGTTTAGGGTTTCTGCCTTCCGTAGCCATGCTTGCAGCCATCCTGCCAGTTGCCCTCATAGAAGGCCTCCCCAGTTCTGTCCTGGATTGTGGTTTGTGGTTTAGGGAGATCTGCTGAAATATTCTGATGCCTACTGCTCCTTAGGGGTGAGTACTTGCCGCAGGATCTAAAACACCCAGTGCAGGTAACATGTACAGACTTTGGGGCCCAAAAATGGTATCCTTTGTATACTTATACTTGGATCCCTAGCGGCAGCCCCCCAGGCCCTAGCCCTAAACCCTATAAACCCTAAACCCAGAGTAGTACCCAGACCCCAAAAGTACGTCAAATAATGGCCCAAAACCACCCAAAAGGCCATTATTCTACATGGTTCAGGTACTTGGATGCCTAGGGTTTCCTAAACATGCTTAAAGTACTTGCCACGTGTCGTAGACCAGCTTTCCTTGGCCTTGGCGCTTGCCGTTGAACCACTGGCCTTCGCATCCCCTAACCCTAAACTCTAAGCCCCTAAAACCCTAATAAGCCCCTAAAACCCTAAACCCTTCAACCCTAAACCCGAAACCTTTAAACCCTAACCTAAACCCTTAAACCCTAAACCCTAAAAACCCTAAACCCTAAAACCTTAAACCCTCATCCCCTAAAACCTTAAACCCTATGGCCTTCGTATCTGGTCACCCCGTCTGCTGCCAGGAAGACTCCGTGGCCATGCCGCCGTCCATTCCTGGTATTTCGGGTTTAGGATTTAGTGTTTAGGGTTTAGGGTTTAGGATAATTAATACGAATATAATAAGAATAATAGGAATAATGATAGGACTAATGTGATAAACCTATGGATCTGGATAAGAGTTAGAATATGATACTATAGTAGGGTTTATGGTGGGTTTATGACATAGTCTCGGTGGGACTGAAGTTGAAATGTAGATTTCTCATGAGCATGACTGGTTGCAATCTCCTAAGCTGCTTGTGAAGGGATTCCCAGTAGGGTAAACAAAGAAACACTTCCTATCCCTGGCCCAGATTCAGGAGGTTGCCCTGATATGAGGATCCATCTGGCCAGATATACTTGCCGTGGCCCTGAATGTCACTTTGTACAAACGGCCCTTCGTATTGAGTGCCATTTTTCCACTGGTATTTCGCAGACACACCATCGAAATATCTTTTTCCAATGTTGTTGGTCTTCACGTACCCAGTGTACGTGTGATCATTGAGGGATACGGTGACTATCCGATGCTCTTCGCACGGGCTTTCAGTTTCTCGCTTCTTCTCCCTCTTCTTTTTAGGCTTCTTTGGCGTCACCACCGCCTTCTTCTTGCTCCCTGGCCCTGGCATGGCGTCTGCTAATCAGGTCATGCACACAGCTCGGGATGTCCATCACTGAGTTGATAAGGTCGCTTGGTGTGGCTTGGGTGAATGCGCTCAGTGCTGCAGTTTCATGAAGGTGTTTAATGGCATAGTAAACGGGTTGAACGTAAAGCTTTTTGGACTATAGCAATTCTGGGACCATGTCTGCATCAACAGCTGCGGGAGTACACGCTGAAACCCGTTTAGGCGTTAGCAGGGTGCACATGACAACTTCTAGCAGCTTCAGTTTCTAAGCCTTCGCCCCAGGAAGTTGAAGAAGCCCGTGTCAAGTCCGTAGTTAACGACCTTTGCAGTCTGCTTAACCCCCCACCCCCCCAGCACAGAATGCTAGCACCGCCACAAATGTACCTGCTGCCACTCCACTCCCAGGGCTCCTGGCCCGGGCAAGGTGAGAGTCACTACGACAACCAATATCATTCCTGCTGCGATCCTTTGCAAGCATGATGGTGGTGGTGGTGGTGGTGGTGGCGGCGGCGGCGGCGGCGGCGGTGGCGGTGGTGGCGGCGGCGGCGGCGGCGGTGATGATGGTGGCGGTGGCGGTGGCAGTTGTGGTGGCTGTAATAGCTGTCATACCAGCATTGTCAACAGGAAGCACTGCAGAAGCACTGTTTCTTGGCCGTGCAGTCCACCAAACCTCGCTTGCAATCATCTGCAGATCCTCCAGCTGATTGCCGTCGCAGCATGTGTTACAGCAGAGATGCCCTTCGACGGTTCAGGGGTTAAGGTCTGGGGTAGGTGGCTCTCACACGCACCGACTTTCGAGGTCACTGCAGGGAAAGGCAGCGTGACCAAGGCTTAAGAAGAGCTGTCATCTTCCACTTGCCTCTGTGATCACGGTCCCTTCGTGCAAAGTCATGCAAATTGTCCGAAAGCATGTGCAAATCTTTGGCACATGTCTTCTCAGAAGGCATAATTGAAAGGCTCTGTGTCTTTCAGTAGCACATCGAAATTCACCCGGACCTGGCGATAAGACATGTTCAAGCGCACTCGCAAGTTGCATATTTCTTATATCTAGGGTCACCCTTCGGGTCAACCTATACACTTCCAAGATGTTGGGTTCCACATGATGACATCCAAATCGAAACTCGCAATTTTGGGATCTCTCCGCCCGGATCAACAGCAAGCTGCCAAGAAGCGCCTTGCCGCCCGATTGCACTCGGATTACCTTACAGACCAGGATTTGTAGAATCCGCGGTTTAGGGTTTATGCATGCTGTCCTGTGGCTATTGGGTGTCTCCTCTCTGAGGTTTGATGGCATGTGAGGTGGTATTAGAGAGGGCCGCTGGTTTGAGACATGGCCCGGCAGATAGCAGTGATGATGACACTAAATGGCATCGCCATGCCCGTTGCAAGAATGGCGGGAAGACTGATCTTAATGAATCGCGGTTGCGTCCAAAAGGGTGCAGCATGGCATTCCGGCACCATGTGTGGGGATGTTAGGGGTTTGTGTTTGTATTTGGTGCCCAGAAGAAGTTGCCACGAAAGCTGAGCTCGTTTTCGTCGGCCTTCCCAAATTGGAGCCCAGCAGCACCTTAATGTATGCAGTCGCCAAACCCTCTAAACTCAAGATAGCCTGTAATGCTCTCGCACGACTGTCTAGCAAGATTTCGAAAAATGCATTCAAAACTGCAAGCGGCCCGAAGCCTACACCTATATAACCCAAAAGGAATCCGCCCCAAACCTTAAACCCTAAAGCCCAAACAACAGGCCCAAACCTTCAACCCTAACACCAAGGCTCCAAGTAGCCAAATCTATAAGCCATGTTTATGGGCATTTGGGCCCAATGTAGGTACGATTTATAAACAAAGAGCCCCAGGTGGAAGGAGTTTTAGGGTTCAAACTCTTACGCCCTAGGCCCTATATAAGCCATTGTCTAAACTCCTAGTATCCCCCTTAACAAGCCCTATAGTAGTCCCCTATATAACCCTCTTTAAGGAGTTGAGACTATAGCTCATATAAGCTCTTGTGCTCCCTGGCTGCCTCGCGCCCATCCGTTCCGGCGAGGATGCGGGGATCCACCAGCTGAGCAGGGTTGCCAAAGAGCGCACCTGGGGTTTAGGGTTGAAGTTTCAGGTTTAGATTTTAGGGTTTAGGGCTTTTGAGCTTAGGACCGTTAAAGATTTGAGGAGATTTGGCAAGATAGAGGGCCATAAGGTGTACATGACATAGATAGGGTTCCTGGGGATGACTATGCATAGATGATTTTCAGAAACACCTGGACCTAGATAGGGGGGCGAGGCTGGAAGCCTTCCCACGATGTCGGCTTATTCACTCGCGCTCATGCTATCCCACGCAACGGCCCAGTGGTTATATTAGGGTTATGCTGGGGATATATCGGGATAATGGAAAATAAATGGAAACTACTATCAAGGTTTCAGTGATACTTAAGCAGGTAATGTTGATGAGGTAGGTTTTCGATTCACTGTGCTAATGGAGTGTTCTTTGACTGTTTTAAGTGTGGAATGTTACGTGACAACATCCAGCCCCAAACACACCTCAGGCTCTCACCCAGCAGTCTGGTCAGTGGGCTGGACGACAAAGGGCAGTAAAGGCGTATCCTCAAGCTACCCAGGGAAGGCAGCGCATGAGAAGCAGTGCTAGCAGAAACCTCTGCAATCTCTATTCCTTTCAATTAATTTACCAGCAGGAAGGAGGAATGGGTTCCTATAGCATAGCAGTTTAAGCTTTATTATCCCCCTACAATGGAGAATCAAACTGAGGAGAAAATGGAAAATGAAATGGACACTGGGAGAATATAGGCATTTAAGTAACTTAATCTAAGTTACCATATTCAGAGGTGCTTCGTTCATTCACGAACAATTCTGTTCCATTCCTCCACCTCCTGGTACAAGTAACAACCACC